GTCTGTTTCTAAGCCGCCCAGTCTGCAGTGTTTAGTTAGAGCGGCCCTAGCAAACTATTATTCTGCTTTTCCCACACAGATGCCCACAACGCTCCAACTCTGCTCAGCTCTAAAGCATGGTGCTGGGTCGCGAATCCACACCTGGCTCTAAAAGCTTCTTCTGAGGCTGCACCTCAGGGGTCTCCACCTAACCCTCACTTCACCCCAAGCGGAACCCCCGACAGCAGAGTGGGGTGAGCACAGTCTCTGGCCTCCACTGCTGCCTGTCACAGCCCCAGGGCAAATGGGTGAGCCTCAATTCCCTCTTTGTAAGAGCGGGGATCAAAACACCCACTCAGCAGGGTTGCTTGTAAGGATTTGGGAAGATGGTGCAAAGGCCCAGGCCTGGGTCTGACCCTTACTTGGGACTCAACGAATGGCAACTGTTATTTTTATTATTTCTCTCAAACCTGACCCAGTATTTCCCAGGTCAGCTCCTGGAGCCACCAAGCTGGGAGCCTCGAGGGACCTCCACACCTGCAGCCCCCTACCTGCCCCCGCCTCCTGGATCTGACCTGTGTTTGCTTCATTAACTCAACAGTCCTCATCCAGCCCCTACTAAACAACAGCCATTGTGCTCTGCTGAGCACCGGGGCCTGAATGAAGCCTGTGGGCAGGGAGGAGCTTCAGCTTATCTGCACATTAATAAACAAATTGAGTTTTAAACAATCAATTACTATGGAGGGAGCTATGCTGGGGGAAGAGGGGGAAGGGTCCTTAAGCCAGTGAATCACCTTCTTTGGCTGGCTTGTCTTTTACCCTGATGGCTGCAAGACTCAAGTTAACTGTTCCCAAAGGCTTCCAGAATTTCCTTTCTTAAGCAAAAATAGACCCGATCCTTCCCTGCTTAAAGTCCTCCCTGGCTGCACCTGCCTTCAGTGGGCCCTCCTCTACATGGTGCAACCTCACCTGTCTTCCCACCTATCTCCTCCAGCACATCCTTCATTCTTTTTTAAAAATATTTATTTATTTATTTGGTTGCACTGGGTCTTAGTTGCAGCTCGTGGGCTCCTTAGTTGTGGCTCGCCAGCTCCTTAGTTGTGGCATGCAAACTCTTAGTTGTGGCATGGATGTGGGATCTAGTTCCCTGGCCAGGGAGGGAACCCGGGCCCCCTGCACTGGGAGCGCGGAGTCTTAACCACTGTACCACCAGGGAAGTCCCACATCCTTCACTCTTGCCAGGTGAGAGACACTGGCCTCTGTCCACCTCTAGACCTGGGCACAGGCAGTGCCCATCACCTGGGTGTCACTCCTTAGCGCACCTTTGCTCTTAGTCACCTCTTTCTATCTGAAAAACTCCCCTTATCTTTCAAGGACCAGCTCCAACATCACTTCCTTCACCAGATCTTCCCAAACACCTCCTCTCGGCTCCCAAGGCTTTACTGTGTCCATCACAGCATTTATCACCTTGTAGTGTGGAGCTTGCAGCGATTTCTTTCATATCTGTTTTCTCCACTAGATCAGGAACCCCATCAGGGGAGGAAGAGATCAGGTCTGGTTACATTTGCTGCTCCAGTGCCCGCCACACAGGGGCGCTCCACGTGTGCAGAGTGAATAAATGACCGACAAAGGCGGGCGAGTCAGACTGAGCCAGATGCTCCTTACACCTCCTCCCATTTAATCCCCACACAGCTGAGGAAGTACAAGATTACAGGAGAGCCAGCTTCCCTCTCTGCCCTGAATGGCTCAGGATACTGACACCAAACCATGGAGAGTCCTGGTACCTGAATGATTTGCATTTCATGTGCCCATAATAAGCTCTAAGTGAATACGTGTTGACTGGTGATCATGCAGCTATTCTTCTCTGGTCGTCATCTTTTTTTCTGGTCTATCTCCATGGATACCCGAGAACGTTGGCTGTGGCCACAATCAGCTCAATTCAACAACCATTTGGCTGTGGCTCCCACACTGGCTGAGGCTTGGAATCTCTGATTCTGAGGTTTTAGTGGGAGATGAGGATCTGCCACATTTAGAGAAGAGAAAAGAGAGGGAGAAGGCATTTCCAGTGCAGGAAAGGGGATGAGCAAAAGCAGTGGAGGGCATATGGGTAAGGGTAAGTCTGGGCTCCAGATTTTGGAGAGTCAAGAGTAATAAAATTGAAAAAAAAAAAAAAAGTAATAAAATTGGAAATGGAAATTAGAAAATGCTAGTTTCCTCTACATTTCCCTTAGTTAAAAAGGCAGGTGAGGGAGCTTCCCTGGTGGCGCAGTGGCTGAGAGTCCGCCTGCCGATGCAGGGGACACGGGTTCGTGCCCCGGTCCGGGAAGATCCCACATGCCGCGGAGCGGCTGGGCCCGTGAGCCATGGCCGCTGAGCCTGAGCGTCCGGAGCCTGTGCTCCGCAATGGGAGAGGCCACAGCAGTGAGAGGCCTGCGTACCGCAAAAAGAAAAGGGCAGGTGACCAACTGGTTTGAGAACGAGGTCTGGAGTCAGTGGTGCCCAGGGAACAGGGGCCATGCGCACACCCAGACCTGAGCCTGACTCTGGCTCCGCCAGGCCCTGGCTCTTGGGCCAGTTCTCATGCTTAACTTCTCTGAGCTTCAGGTTCCTGAACAATTATAGTAAAAACGACAGCACCTCCAGTCATTAGCACTCACCTCCTGCCAGACACCAAACCCAGCCCTTTATCTCATTTAATCCTCATCTCAACCCTTCAAGCTGGGGACTGTTATCATCCTTATGCAGCAGATAAGTGCCTGGAGGGTAAGTAACTTGCCCAGGGTCACAGGACCGCTAAATGATCTGACTCTCAAGGCCGCTTGTTTTTCTCCCCAGTTTTATTGAGGTATAATTGGCATATAGCACTGTGGAAGTTTAAGGTGTACAGTGTAATGATTTGACTTACATACATCATGAAATGATTACTACAATAGGCTTAGTGAACATCCATCACCTCATATAAATATTAAATATATTAAAGAAATAGGAAAAAAATTCTTCCGTGTGACGATAACTCTTAGGTCTCTCTTAACTTTCATTTATAACGTACAGCAGTGTTACCTTTATCACGTTGTACATTATATCTCTAGTACTTATTTATTTAAGGCTTCTTCTTGAGCAAGGCTGGTGTGTATTGACTGAGATGATCTATGAGAAGCCTGGACACAGGGGCCCTCGAGAAGGCTCCTCTCCCTCAGCCCGGGATGCCCAGGGGAGGGACCCCGGTGTGGGCAGTCAGGTGTCCCGCTTTTCCCACCAGGGATGATGATGCTGAGGGGAAGAGGGCAAAGGCTGCTCAGAGGAAGATGATTCAAGCGCTTCCCTCTGTAACCAACACTAAGCTGCTTTGTTATGTGAATACATGAAATCACCTGCTGCAGCTGGCACGCGGGGCACCGAGCTGGATCCGTGTTTCTGACCGAGTTTCTCCCCAGGGCACAGGCGTTCCGCGTTTTGCAGCTGGAATCAGGCGGCCTGGGTGCTCAGCGGCTGGCGCCTGGCGCCCTCTAGTGGCGCGAGGGAGCCTTTCCTCCGCAGCTGAGCCGTGGGGGCCCCGGGCAGTCAGGAAAAGCTTTCCTCAGGGCCTACTGTGTAAAGGGTATTTTTAGGAGCCACCCACTGTCCCTGAGAACCCATCTGTGAAATGAGTGGGGGAAACCGGAAAGAGGACTTGGAATCCGAAAGCTGGGACCTAAGGCCCCCGGTTGCTTTAGCTCTTCCTGTGTGAGATGGGGATGCTCATACCCTCCCCACCTGCTTCCCAAGATCTTGTGAGAATCCTATGGGATGTGATGGGTGACAGCAAATTACTGCGTTCATAAGAAAATTACCAACAGAGTGAGGTCCAGGATGCTAAGGACCAGTGAAGGGCTGTGGCAGAGGGCTGAGGAGAGGGGAGGCAGTAGAGGGATGGAGTGAGCAAGATGGTGGGGGGCACGGGGTTCAGCAGAGACAGGCCCATGTGTGCAGGGCAAGGGGAGACTTTTGGGGGAGATGTGGGCAATGGCGTTGGAAAAGGAGATGTGTAAATACTCATTTCTCATTCCTTTCTCTTCATTCAAAATGATGGTTATATTTGCTTCCATACTAAAATGAAAAAATTAAAATATCTACTTCTCTGAGTTGCTTTCCCGTGGCTTGGTACCCTCAAAAAAAAGGTCCCTACCCCCGCTGAAGGCTGTAATGAGGCCAGTCCTGACCCCGCCTGTGCTCCGGATCCCCTTCCCGGGCACCCACCAGGGACCCCTGCACATTATCCCCCGTTTGCATCCCCCCTCAGCTTAGTTTTCCGGTCGTTCCTTGTGTTCCGGCAGGAGGGCCCCTCAGTTAGAGCAATGAGGAGGGCGGCCATGCCCGCCTGAGGCAGGACATTCAGTGCTTCAGAAAAAGAGCCTTGGTTTCTAGCACCCAGGCTTTTCCCTTCATTGGCTTTGTTCCTAACATCTCCAAACCTCAGTATTCCCATCAGTAAAATGGGGAAATAATAACTATGTCATAATTACTCAATTAAGATTCAATGAGATCATGATTGCATATATAATATTGTGCCTGGCACTTAGGAAGAAAATACATGTTAGTTTATTCAGGAAGTTTCTATGTTTTAGGTTATAAATGAGAAGCTGCTTGACAAGGAATGTCAGCCAGGCTTCCCATCTCAAGAAAGAGGAAATCTTGCGGTGTGGGATTGCAGAAAGCGTTGGGGGTGGGGTGGGGGGTGATGGGAGGGAGACAGGAGGGAGGGGAGGGGGGAGGGGTGGGAGACACACCACTGTGTCCGGGCAACACTGTCATCTGCCGAGGTGCCACCTGGCTGCGCGGTGACTCAGCCTTCACTAAGGCTTAACCCAAAGCAAAGACCAGCCTGGGAGAAGCACATGCAATTATTATTATTTTTCCATTTTAATGTAATAATAATAAATTGAAACCAAAGCAGACGAATGACTTGCACGAGGTCACCTGGCCAGTGAAGATTAGAACCCAGACCTTTGTTCTTTCTGTTACCAGAAATGCATTAACCAAGCTGGCAGAAGGAAAACAATCTTTACTGTGATGTAATTGAAAACATACTACAAATGAAATTCCAGTTCAATATTCAGGTCTTACAATTCAGGGTGACCAGTACCCGAGAGGTGCTGGGGTTTCTCAGCTTCTCCAGGTCACCACTATCAACGTATCTTGATTGACAGGAGAAGTCTCTGATGTCTAACCAAATATATTGCTGCTGCAGCCCACCGAGTGCATTCCTGGTTGTTTTTATCTTCAAGGAAGAGAGAACACTTATCCATGTAACCCTTTCTAAAATTGAAAGCTGTTATGAAATTGATTTCCATCCCAATCCCATTTTACCTAAACATTCCTGAGGTGCTTCCCTCTTACCTAAGGCACCCCAGAGCTGTATGAAATTACAGATGGCTTTGAGGTGTCCACATGCTGAAAAAGCTCTCAGGCAGCCCTGAGGGAGGAACAGGGTGCACTAATAGAGGTGCCCCCGAGACAGAGTGGCCAGGATAGAAATTCACTAAGAGTTCCCCACAACCCAGCCAATCTAGCATGAGCACAGCATCTCAGAAGTGCTCAGCAAACACTGGCTGATTGAATAAAAGAGTCAGAACTCAACAGTTGAGGGTCAGGCTGGGAGCTGAACAGGGCTTTCACCCCAGTAAACCAGAAGCTTCTCGAGGCACAGCAAGTAAGAGCCCAAACTGACATTTAAGCAGAAGAGTTGTCATTCATTCATTCATGACTGTATGCATTCATTCAGCTGTGTTTACTGGGTGTCAAGCATTAGGACCAGGAGGGATGGCCTACAACCCAGCCTGTTCCCCATACCTGGAAGCACCCAAGTTGGTGGTGGAAACAGACAGGAAAACAGGTGATTACCACACCACGTGGTCAGTGTCACTGGGGAGGAGTCCCAGGTTCCACAGGAGCCCAGAGCTGGGCTCCTGCCCACAGTGACACAGAAGGTGGGCCCGGGTGGAAGGAAGAGGCTGGGCCCAGAGCACCCATCTGTCCACCTTTGCCAAGGAGGACACACTCATGCCCAGAGTGTTCCTGGATGCAGCGCAAGACCAGAGTAGGGCACTCGGGTCGCTCCAGCCTTGGGGCAATGCGTCCTGCTAGAGCACTGCACAGCCAGGGCAGCCCGGCAGCCCCCTGAAGGTCTACAGAATGTATTTGGTGACTAGGTAACACCCTCGTATGATTCCTAAATCAGTACACTGCAAAAAGGTTTATAATGAGATGTTACTCCTGTCCCTGTTCCCGTCAGCCTCCTTCCCTCTGTCCCCCCACAAGTACCCCTTCTTGGTGTCTTGTGTATCCTTCTAGAGTTTCTTCATCCAATTTCGTATTTCCTCCTTTTCTTACATAAAGGTAGCAAGCTATCCACACTGGCTTGGACCTTGAAAAGAGGTGCATTTCATTTTCAAAACACTACTGATCTCAAGTAGACACGATATCCATTCTGCCTACGTTCTGGTTTATTGGTAAAAGGACAGCACAGGTCAAGGCTTTAAGTATTTGACTAGATATGCAGAAAGGCCTGTCTACACCATCGCGAACGGTGAGGGAAGAAGCACAGTCAGGCTCTCTGGTGTCCCTCCCCAGAGCGTTGCTTAGTAATGGTCACGTGCGGACAAGGATGAAGAAGGGTGTGTTTGTGCCCCATGCGGCCTGCCGGTGGGGATCAGGGGAAACATTTTAAAATCTTTTAACTATGGAGATCATGCCTGCTTATTGCAAGCAACAATCTAAAGCAAAATAAACAGAGAAAGAAATCAACTGAGAAGTCAACCTCAATCCCACTTCCCCAAAGTAACTATTGCTAACTTTTGGGCGGGAGGTCTGTGCCCCCATTTCACAGGAGAGCAAAACTGAGGCAATAGATGAGGGAGTGTTTGGGGGGTCCTGAGAGAAGTCAGTTATGAAACGAGGGCTGTGCCTGCTCTAGGCCCGGCTGCCCCCAGGGTCCAGGTGGAGAAGCAGAGAGTGGGGGAGGGCAGGCAGGGGGTTAGCTGGCGCCCTTCCTCACTCTTACCCATATCCGTGCTTCCTTTTCCTCTGCCTTCCTGTGTTTTCCACTTCTACTCCCTGTGTCCACATCTTTCCTCGGCCCTTGTGCAACTCAGAACAAGGACAAGTCTTCCTGACTGCGGCATGCCCAGGCTTCACAGGGCGCTTGGCACAGAGGGAGTGCTGCGCACGTGTTTCTTGGGAAGGCTGCCCTAGCCTCTCACACCAGCTTTTACTCCTACAAGGCGTCAGGAGGCATTCACGGGCTTTCCTGGTGGCTCGGGCCCCAGCCTCTAGACCCTCTGTCCAGGGTGTCCTCTGCAGCTCCAGCCCCCGCACCCATCAGCCCTGTGAGGAGGCGGGCAGCTGAGAGGGGCCGGCCTGAGGCCCCGCAGAAAGGCGACCGGAACTGGTTTCCAAGGGGTGGCCCTCTTCGTCTACGCCCTGGAGGCCTGGGGCCGCAGCCACCTTGGGTGAAATCTAGTCCTGCCCACACCGGGTCGAAGCTCAGAAGCAAAGGGCAGGGGGCCCTGAGCAGGTGAGGACCCACCTGAGCCAGGTGGACCCTACACACCAAAGCATGAGCCAGGGCCTAGCAGTTAGTAGGTCCTCAGTAAATGTGTGTTGGTGGATTTAGGCCTGGGAAGGAGGTGGCCTTGCAGGGGGGCAGAGGAGAGGAGATGAAGGGCAGTCTCCTGTCACCTAAGACAGCTTGCCAGCAGGATATGTGCAGAAAGGACAGAATTTGGTATCAGACTTGGATTTGAGCCCTGGTACCACTTCCTAGCTAATTAAACCAGGGACTGAACTCGGGCCACAGCAGTGAAAGCCCAGAATCCTAACCCCTGTGCCACAAGGGAACTGCCTATTTCCTTTTTCTTAAGTTTTATGAAGTGTAACTTATACACCGTAAAATTCATGCACTTTAAGTTTACGATTCAATGACTATGTCCAGAGTTGTGCAATCATTGCCATAATCTGATTTTAAATCACTTCATCACTCCAGAAGAAACCCTGTCCTCGTCCCATTCCCACCCCAGCCCTAGGCAACCAGTCTATCTCTGTAGAGTTGCATTTTCTGGACATTTCATGTAAATGAAATCATATAATGTGTGGCCTTCTGCAAGCAACTTCCTTAACATGATGTTTCTGGGGTTCGTATGTTGTACCATGTGTCACTACTTCCTTTTTATTACTGAATGATATCCATCGTGTGGGTATAACACATTTTATCCCTTCACCAGTTTTTCAGCATTTGGGTTGTTTTCACTTCTTGGCTATTTTCAGAAAGGCTGCCACAAAGAATCATGAGCAAGTTTTTGTGTGGACATCTGTTCTTATCTCTCTCGGGTAGGTATCTACAAGTAGAATTGCCTGGTCATACGGCAACTCTGTTTAACCTTTTGAAGAACTACCAGACTGTTTTCCAGAGTTGCTGCACCATTTTACACCCCTACCAGCAATACACAAGGGTTCTAACTTCTCCACATCCTTGCAACATTCGTTATTATCCTTTTTATTTTAACTAGAAGTCACACTAGTGGGTGTGAAGTGGTATCTCACTGGGTTTTGGTTTGCATTTCCCTCATTACTAATGATGTCGAGCATCTCATTTGCCATTTGTAAATCTTCTTTGGTGAAAGGTCTGTCATCTTTTTGGACCACTTACTTAACCTCTTACTCTTAATTATACCCAGCTCCTAAGGCCATGAGACTTTATGTAGAGGGTTTGCAAAGGGGCTGCCATATAATGAGGGCTTAAAGATGACAGCTTTTAGTATTGTCGTACTCGTTGTCACTTTGGCCCCCTAGGAATACGCTGGAGTTGGGGCCCAGCTGCCCTCCCTCCTCAGGGGAGGGTGAAGGATGAGCTCCACTGGCACAAGGGTCCACATGTTCTAGATGTTCTGCTGAGCAACTCCACACGATCTCATTTCATACCCACCAGAACCTTTTGATGAAGCGTGACCTCCATATTTCTAGGGATGAAACCTTAAGGTCCAAGATATTCAGTACCTTCTCCAAGGTCGCCTAGTTGAAAGCGGTGGGAACTAAGATGTGAACTCAGAGCTGATGTTGAAGCCAGTGCCACAGGCAGGAGCTGGTGGGGACAAGCACCAGAGACACGGCCTGCAGGGGGAACCTCCAGGCTCAGTCTGGCTGTGTGGACGGCCCCACAACTGATCAACAACTCAACTGGAGTAAGCTGCTTATCCCCTTCAGGCCTCGGCATCCTCTATAAAGTCAGAAAAAGAATAGTTCCTCCCTCGGAGGGCACCTGTCTGGATCCGATGTAGCGCCCGGCCCACTACAAGCAGGCAGCTTCCTCCTTTGTGTCTGGGCTGCGGCCAGCCCCCCACCAAGGCCACTTGGCTCTTCTTTGCCCTGAGCTTTGGCCCATCCTAGAACACAATCTCCTGACCCTGACCCTGACCCTAGGGGCCGGGCTGGAGCAGGGTGTCATTACAGCTCTCAGGGCCTGGCCCCTTATTTCCTCTCATCCCTGCTTCTTGCCTTTAGGCAGTACTCTCCCAAAGCTGGAGCACCTGGAGAGGGCCTCGAGTTCTCTAGAATGATGACTTAAGATAAAGCATAAGAAAAGCAGGGTAATAAAAAATAAAGCTTTGTTAAAGCAGCTAAGCTTAGCAGCACTGAATAACACATTTCAATGGTATACCTCGGAAGCAAGAGTTAAATAGAAGTCTAATAGGTGCATTTCTGATTAACTATGATCATTCTAAGTCACTCTCTTCTTTTCCATTTACCGATTCAAAGAGAAAAGCTCTTGTCATGTTTTGTACCTCTTACCTCCTTGACTTGGCAACAGACTGACCCTGCCTTGGGCTCCAGCCGGAGGACCCCAGGTGAGGGGATCATGAGCTGAAGGTCTCCAGATCTCCCTATGGAGCTGGGGCTCTGACTGGAGTCCCAACCTCTCTCTCCTGTAACCGTGTGAGGTGTGCAGGGCTGCATCTCGTTTCCAGCATCCACCACCCCTTCAGAGCACCTTCTAACTGGAGACAGGAGGGGAAACTAGTGCTGCTTGGTCTGAACAGACTTGAGGAGGTTTTATCACAAGGACCTGAAGACTGACTGAGCCTACCCCTGCACTGCACAGCGTCCCTCATCCGAGGGCTCCGGTCACAGAGAGAAGGGCAGACCGAGGCTGCCTTAGTCTCTTTTGCCTCCTGGGACTGGGCTTCTTGTGAGGAGCTTCCCTGAGCTGGAGGGGGTCAGTGAGGTCACTGTGCGGGAGTCCAGCTTCACTCTGTCCAGGAGGGTCTTCTTGAGGGCAGCTGGGGAGATCTTTTCTTGGTCGGCCATGGACTGCAGCTCTCTGCAGACAAAGCCCCAAGAGGTTGAAGGAGGAGCCAGAGCTGCACGAGGCTTCCCCATCCACTTAACCCCCAACCCTTGTTGACCTGGTACCAGCCAAACTTAGAACCCCAAACCAAAAACTCCCCTAAGCTTCCTAGAAGTGCTATTTAACTAAGTAGGGGTTACTACATAGATGCAGAGCTTTAAGTGTTATCTGTGATCAGATGGGGAGAGAGAGTGTGGAAAAATCACAGGACTGGAGGTCAAAGACTTGAGGTCAAATCCTGCCTCCATCACTTACTAGCTGTTTGACCTTGGGAGAGCTGTATCTCTAAGCCTCGACTTCCTCATCTGTAAATCAAGCTAACCCCAGCTATCAGAACTGTGTGAGAATTAAATGAGGGCCTACAAACCCTTACCTAACAAAGTCTAATAAATCGTGGTTATTAACAGAGCACATAAAAATAAATAAATTTTAAAAATTAAAAAAATAATAATAAATTAAAAACAAAACAAAACAAAACAGAGCACAGACTCCAGCATTGGTAATGGGACCAAAGATGGCAGATTCTGCAAGACGGTGTGCAGCCCATACTGGGGCTGGCTGGGAGTAGAGGGCCTGGGCAGAGGAGGAGAGAGACCCACCGTGTTTGGATGCAGGAGGCCTCAACTGCGTTGATGAGCAGGGAGCGGAAGCCCCCGCTCTCTAGGACGTGCAGGGCGTGGATGGTGGCCCCCCCAGGGGAGCAGACATTGTCCTTGAGCTGGCCCGGATGCTGCTCTGAGTCCAGCAGCATCTTGGCAGCCCCCTAGGGCAGGAAGGAAGCATTAGAGCAGAAAACAGCTGGTGCCCCTTGAGATGAGCTTCTCCACACCCACTGCTCCTCCCCAATCCTTATCCCAGCTTCCCAACCAAGCCCTGCCCCGGCCCAGTGACCCCTAAGAACCCCATCCCCACACTGTGGTCCAGAACACGCAGGCAGAAGATACTGACCAACAAGGCCTGGGCCCCCAGTCGGACAGCCAGGCGCCTCGGCAGGCCCATCTTCACCCCACCGTCGGCCAATGCGTCCAGGGCCATGAACGCCTGTGGAGACACTCACTGAGCCCTGGGGCAGCAGGCGCTCAGGGGCCCGCCCTAGAGTCTACTTTTCCTGATGACTGGAACTAGCTCCAAGGGTTGACCGCCTCCACCAGCCTGCCTTGCCCAAGAGGTGGGTGACACCCCCAGCCCAGGCCTGCCTCCCAGCCCATCTTGTGCCCCTAGGTCCCCAGAAGGCTGCGTAAGTATATGAGGGCCTCACATAGGCAGGCCCGCTGCCACTGAGCCCTGTGACGGCGTCAATCAGGTCCTCCTCCACCTCAGTGCAGAAGCCTACGCTGCTCATGAGCTGCTCCAGTAGCTGCCCATCTTCCACCAGGGCGTGGGTGCCCGTGGCGTACACTGTCGCGCCCTCTCGCACCAACACGGGCGTGTTGGTCATGCAGCGGATCACCTTGGGGGCCGGTTGGAATGCCATCAGCTTCTGGGGTTAAGGCAGAGGGCCGAGTGAGTGGCCAGTCCCACTAGCACCCACCCCTCCTCCCCTCACACAGGACTGCCAGGGCCGAGGTGGGCACCTTCTCGACAGAGCTGATGGTGACGCCTGCCGCGCAGGAGACCACAATGTGCCTGGCCTGGACATCGGCCCCGATCTCGTCCAGGATGAAGGGGATGATGTGTGGCTTCACGGCTAGGAACAGGACGTCACTGTGCCTCACTGTCTCCTTATTACTCCGGGTCAGGCTCACACCCATCTTCTGCGGGAGGAGACCACTGGGCTCACGGTGTGCAGCAGCCTCACTAGGCCCAGGAACTCCCAAGGAGCAGCTGAATCCCCCAACAAGCCTGGAATTCCCTGCCCCAGCCCCTCAGGGTCTGTCTGCCCCTACCGCCACCGGCACAAAGTTTTCCGATGTTGCTACCGGGCAAGTGAGCATAGGTGCTGGACGCGGACAAGCTTCCCCATGGCAACCAGGAAATAGCTGTCCCCCATCCCCACTTCTCTGGCACCCAAGGCACCCCTCTGCCAGGTAAGAAGTCTCCATGGCTGGAAAGTGGCAAAGGGAAAGGTGAAATGCTAGTAGTGCCCAATGGTCGGAAGCGAGGCCGTATTCCAACTCCAGACACTTGTTCATCAGAGTGCAGTCTCTGTGTGGTCCAGGGGTGGGCTGGAGGACACCCATCTCTCTAAGACTCCATACGGAGAAGCAGGGCCCTCCAGTGCTGGTAACATCAGCCATCCCAGGCACAGACACTGCCTGTCGCCCGCCTCATTAGACATCCTCTCCCACACTGCTCAGGTTTGGGGTGAAGACTTGGGATATTCTTTTTTTAGACAGAGGAACAACTAACCTGCCAGGTTCTTTCCCAACACGCTCTTTTATGCCTCAGAATAATTCAGCTAAGTGGCTATTGTGGTCTCCATTTTATAAATGAGGAAACTGAGCGTCAGAGTAGCCGAGGACCGTAAGGCCACTTAGCCAGTGGATGAAGAAAAGTGAGTATTTTATTGGATACCTACTATGCGCCAGGTGCTTTCCATACATAAAACCTCAACTAACCTTCTAACCACCCCAGTATCTGGATTAGAACCCAAGTCTGTCTGCCTGGGTGCTCCCACCACCCTGAGCTGCCCCATGGAAGGTGGAGGATTATGCTCCTGGTGGGTAGGTCAGCGCCGACCATGGACCAGCACAGGGGCTCAGCTCATCAGGCCATCCTTCTCCTGGGCCTTCACCCTCTTCCCCAGTTACCCCCCTGCCCCACCTACCCTGAGCGCGGACACTGTGGGCAGGTCCATGTCCGGGGAGCTGGCTATTATCTTGTGAGCCGACAGGATGCCTGGAGAAGACAGGGCTTTTCAACTGGGGATCATGGCCCACCCGGTTCCCATGCTTTCCCCGGGAAAGCAGAGTCAAAACCCACGACGTTCTGACCGTTGTGGAGACGGCTGCTAGTGTCTTTCTCCCCGCTCAATCCCTTACGCGGGCATGACTCTCTTGCTGCTTAAGAGGAGTTTCCTCTCCCCCAGCAGACACAAATTCCCCTTTCTTCATTCATTCACGTTCGTGGGGTGGAGGGCGGTTCACAGGGTAGGCTAGGAACCGTCCGCACATCCGCCTCCCGCCTCCAGGCGCTTACCTGCGGCCGTGAAGCCCCGCGCCAGGGCACAGGCCAGCTGGCCAGCGCCGATGAAGCCCACGCTCATGGTTCCAGGGTCTGCGTCTGCCGGGCCGCCGCAGAATTCGGCTCAAAGGTGCCCTAAAAGAAGAGTGGAGAACGGAGGGCACAGCGGGCGCAGAGCCCCGGACCCGAATCCCGGGAGCTGCCCGCAGCTTCCGGGCCGGATCCCGCCACCCCTCCTCATTCACACTCACCGACTGCGCCGCAGGAGCCCAAGTGTCCCCGCCCCTCCAGGACGACCAATCCTAGGCCGGGACGAGGCCGTGTGCCCGCCTCCTGCGCACGGGATTGGCGGGTGGAATCTCGGACGCGGCGCGTGAAGCCGGGATTTCCGCCTCATGTGGGCCCCACCCCTGGGGGCCGGAGAGCCCAGCCATTGGAAGCCGCGTGGGGCTCAGCGCTGAGGCCGGGCAGAGGTCTGGCTAATGTTATTCTTGGTGCTGGCCATGAGCCGCACCTCGAGGGCAAGAGGAGCTCTCCAGGTTGCTGATTTGAGGGGACGAATGTGACGCTCTTGGCGGGGCTTCAGACAGGAGCTTGGGGACCTGTGGGCTCCGAGCCAGGCGCCTCGGTGCGCCCGCGTTGGAGCTGGGAGGCCCCCGGCTGCCGCCCGCTCCCTCCCGGCCCGCGCGGGGAGGCAGCGGGGGAGCCGCGGTTACTCACTTGAACTTGCGTGGTTCACGCGATTGGTCTTATTAACTAGATTGCGAATAGGGTCAGTTCCTCTGTTTAGGAAATGATGGGCTCCTTAGAGCCTGACTAAAGTAACCCCGACCACCGCCACCTGCTTTAAAACGCTCCACAAATGTGATGTTTACGTTTTCATCAGTAGTAAATATAAGTACTACGGGGGACAGGTGACAGAGGAAGGAGATGGCATCTCAAGAGGGAGGCGTCTCAGAACAGCAGGAGAGACAGTTGGTTCACCACCGCCTCTCTCAGTCTTTCTACAGGCCTTTCCGTATAATCCACACCCCACCCCCAGGCTTCCTGCAATGTTCCTCCAGTTGATCACGTCCAGGAGGACACGTCCCTGGTTCTTGAGTTTCTGGACCCTTAAAAGTGAGGACCAGGGACTTACCTGGTGTTGCAGTAGTTAAGAATCCACCTGACAATGCAGGGGACGCCGGTTGGATCCCTGGTCCTGGAAGATCCCACATGCCCACATGCCGCGGAGTAACTAAGCTGGTGTGCCACAACTATTGAAGCCGCGCGCCTAGAGCCCGCGGGCCACGACTGCTGAGCCCGCGTGTCACAACTACTGAGCCCGCGTGTCACAACTACTGAAGCCACAGCAATGAGAAGCTCGTGCACTGCAGTGAAGAGTAGCACCCCCCTTCCTTTGGCAGCAAAGAAAACCCAACGCAGCCAAAAATTAATTAATTTTTAAAAAGTGAGGACCAAATATTTACTGTGAAGCAAAATTACATTTCTATAACTTTCTCTGATTAGGAAAGTAATACATGTATATTGAGAAAAAATTTAGAAAATACAAAAAAAGTAAAAGTCAAAATCACCCATAGCCATACTTCCTAAGGATCATTTTCTGCAGACATTTTTTTTCCTTACACATTATTTTGTATGCATACATACCTTTTCCATCGTTGGAAATAAATGATATACATGTAGTTTTGAAATTTCTATACTAGATATACAATAAATATTTTCCAATGTCACTGAAAAGTTACTTAAAACAAGATTTTAGTGACTACTTAGCGTTCCATTAAATGGATGCACTGTACTAATTTAGCCATGCTCTCAAAGATCAGCATTAGGTTTATTAATTCATTCAATATATATTTATTGAGCCAGTTTCTGGGGATCCAGCCACGAACAAAACAGACAAAAGTCCTTATCTTCATAAAACCTATATCAATTTTTTAAATTATTGTTCATACTACTGTGAGAAAGTCTTTGCCTAACTCTTTGACTATTTCCTTAGCTTGGATCCCTGAAAGTGAGATCTCGTGGTTCTGTGTGTAGAAGCCTTAAATGCTTCCCATAGTGGCCATGTTGCAGCCCAGCCTAGTTGTCACCAGCGTGGGCTCTGACACCAGAAACCCTACAGCTCACACTAGCTGAAGGAAGAGGGGGACTTATGACACAGCCCTTAGGAAAGGTGCCGAGGAGCTCACTAACCAGAAGGAACACCTACATCACGAGGACCTTGGGGACTGGAACCAGAACTTCCTAACGGTGCCTGTGCTTCTGAGGGATGCTCGGGTTCCCCACGGTCCACTGGGAGGCTGCAGGGCCCCCTGGCCGTCTGGCTCTGGGCTGCAGTACAAAAGGTTGTGCACGGGCTTCCCTGGTGGCGCAGTGGTTGAGAGTCCGCCTGCCGATGCAGGGGA